CCAGAAAAGACTGTAGTGTGGACAGCCAACAGGGATGATCCAGTTTTTCCCAGCAACGCCATTTTGTTATTAACCGATGATGGAAGGCTCATTTTGCAGCAGGAAGATAGAGATGACGTAAATATTGTGAATCCTGGCCAGTCTGTTGCGTCAGCTTCAATACTTGACAATGGCAATTTCGTGCTGTTTGATTCCTCAGGGAGGATTAGATGGCAGAGTTTTGATCACCCAACCGACACTCTTTTGCCCGGCCAATGTCTCCCAGCTGGAGAAGATCTCGTCTCCAGTGCTTCAAAAACAAACCCTGCCCGAGGGATTTTCCGTCTTGTGATGCAAACTGATGGGAACCTGGTGCAATACCCTGTGGAAATTGACGGACCCAAATATGCTTATTATGCATCAGGTACCTATGGAAGAGGCAACAATGTATCCTTGAATCTGGATAATAATGGCCATCTTTATTTGTTAAATGGAAGCACCATTATAAGCAATATAACAACAGGACAATATCGAACAAGAATTCTCTACCTCGTGAGAATTGACGTTGATGGTATATTTCGATTATATTATCGCTCATTGGATCCTCAAGGAAACTGGACTATAGAATGGTCAACCACAGAAGATAAATGTGCCCCAATGGGTTTATGTGGGTTGAATGGTTTTTGTATTCTGATGGATGAAGTTGCAGAATGTGTATGCATTCCAGGATTCGATCATGTTAATCTGGGCAATTGGAGCTCAGGATGCGAAAGGAATTTTGCTATGGAAGGTTGTAAAGCCAATAATCAACATATCAGTTATGAAATCAGATCATTGGATAACACAATGTGGGAAGATGCTAATTATGCTGTTTTAGAAGGACTGACTAAAGAAGATTGTGGAAAAGCTTGTTTAGAGGACTGCAACTGTGATGCAGCTCTCTTACAAGATGGAAGCTGCAGAAAGCAAAGGCTTCCATTGAGATATGGAAGAAGATTTCAGAATAGTTCAGATGTTGCTCTTATCAAGGTCAGCACAACAACGACTAGAGGAGTTTTGGGTGATTCAGACAGAGAAATCAAGAAAGAGATTCGTCTAGACGTCTTAATTATTAGCATTTCACTTGTTGCTTTAGCGGCCTTGATCTTGACAATTACCGGGATTTATGTCCACAAAAATCGTGCAAGCAACAAATGAGTTCAAAGAAGAGCGGAGTGGTGAATAATCAAGATTAAATAGAACAAATATAGCAAATCAATGTAAGCCAAAAAATAATAATAATCTGTCGTAAAATTCTGAAATAATTATTGATGATCATTTAGCCTTATTAGAATACTTATATAAGTCTTACTTACTTTAGAATAGTGTTTTCTATTCAGATTGCAACTCTCATTTCGAATCTTATATTTTTTTTTTCTTGTAGAGCACAATCTTAAATATTAATATTTATTAAAATATATATGGCTTGAGAAGCACAAATTATAAATATCAATAATAGTATATTATTATCTTATTGCTCCTGAAAAAGTATATATTCAATGTTATTAAGAATATATGAATAAGTTTGGCTAACCTATTTGTCAAAAAAATGATAATTGAATGTGAAGTTTAGCCATGTACATTAAGCCAAAACCTTCCGTTTTAATTTGTAAGGAAGCTCTAAACTAGATCAACCATGTATGGTTGAAATTTCTTGTAAAAACTGCATCTAACAGAAATTATAGCAACATAACATCAGTCTTTTGGATGTTATGTTTGCTACTTGAAGTAATCTATTTGATAAATTAGTTAAAGTGCTCAAATAAATTTTTGACACGATACTTAGTTAATTTTAGAGTACAAATTGCATTTTTAGTTCCTACGGTAGTATACCATCCAATGTAGTGTGTCATGTCACCTAGTGCTTAGGCATGCTTTTGATTTCATGAAATTTTTGTCATCATTTTTTTATTATGCATGACATTTATTGAACTAAATTTTGTTAATCGTATTTATACATTCATATGCCATCTTTGGTGATTCTGTATAGCTATCGTAATAAACAATGTATTGAACCAAAAGTACAATAACTCTAATATTTTGTTATTTGACATGGTGTGTCAGAATATTTTGAATCAATAATTATGCAAAAAATATTTAAAATTCGAAATAATATTAAATGAAGAACCATGAGATTCATCAATCCAATAAACTCATATATAATGGTTGCTTCGAAAGTATATATATACCAATAGACTTTCACTAGATAAAATTGAGACTGAATTACGTGTATTTCTGAAAATTAAGTAAAGTATAATATGAAGCCCCATCAGTCTACATGTTGACCATCTAGATATTATGTGTATTTAAGAGATAATCTACTAGATGATTGTATGGTATTATTATATATTCACAATTTGAAGTTTGTGAGATTGTTTGCTAAAATTTAAATTATGAGCATAATTTACCCATCAAGACGGTATTTTTTGTCAATGCTAGTAAGTCTACATCATAAAATTTTGATAAATTTTAGTTCTGAATCAAAACTTTTGATGAATGTTAGTTGGGAAGATAACAAATGGTTTAACACAATTGATTGTTAAGTGTTTACAATTAATTTTAAAATCATTACTATTAAGAATAAGGTACTTCCCGTTTTGGTCTAGGAAATGGTATTTCACATGTAGTAAAACTTATAATATCATGTCAACATCAAAATTATCCTTACTATATTTGACTTATGGTAAACAGTATAATATTTTCCACCTCATGATTTTTTTATAATGCAATGTGTATAATTACTTTATCATAGTGCAGTGAAATGAATATTAAAGAATGTTGATAAGAACATGTTGGAGATTCGAACAATGGCTTATGTTGCTACCTTATATTTCA